AGTCTCTGATACATTCAGAACTTTAAAAAAATCATAAAGGCTTTGAACCTCAGATTTCTTCACTGTATAATAACTATGTTCTAGAACTGCTGTGAATATTAAATGAGATTACATATACAATATGTAAGTTATAGATGTGAACCTTATATACATATTAAATACCAAATATATTAAAACCTATATAATATTTAGCCTACTATCTGGTACCTGTTGTTATTGTTGTTGTTATGTGCCATCGAGTCGGACCCGACTCATAGCGACCCCTCCTTGGGTTTCCGAGGCAGTATCACTACAGAAGTAGATTGCCCTATCTTCCTTCCGAGGAGTGGCTGGTGGGTTTGAACCACCAGCCTTCTGGTTAGCAGTTAAGTGCCTTAGGCGCTATGCTACCAGAGCTCCTATCTGGTACCTAGTAAGCCTTAATAAATGAAAGGGCTAGATAAGTATGTACATATGTGATCAACCTACATACATACATTTGTATAAATGCACACACATAGGCATGCACATACTTATATACACATAAATACACATGCAAGTTACTCATCTAACAAGTTCTGTCTTGATTATAACACATCCTGCACCATTCATAAATGAAGCGAATTAGGATTTCATAAGCAGTCTAACTTTTATGCCTACTGTTTCAATGTAAGGAGCCACTTTTTTTCCAGAAACCTTCTGCTCAAAGCCTGAAAGCTGACTTTCTTTAATGTTTAACTGATGAAATTAAATATTAACAGGACCATGCAGAGATTTGCTAAGGACACTAAAAGGTATTTATCATTAACTCTACCATACACAGATAGGTTGGTCTAAAAGTACTCAAAAGTCAGAACTTGTGATCTAGCAATTAATTTCTGGGCTGGGAAACTGAAACTAGCTTGACAACCACAGCTTCTACATGTAGAATATTCAACCTCCTAAAACCATGGAAAGCATCCTTCTGCTAATGCCTTTAATTTATCCTTTACATTGCACTTTTATGGCATATGTGTTTATAGCATTACAACATTATACTATAACTAGAGTGTAATTTGTCATTGTTGTTGTTGTTGTGTGCCATCAAGTCAGATCTGACTCATAGTGACCCCTCCTTGGGTTGCCGAGGCAGTATCGCTACGGAAGTAGATGGCCCCGTCTTCCTGGAAATCACTGAGAAGCAGTTCCATCATCGTCTCCTTCTCTCTGAAGTCCAGGAAAGTATATAGTCTGAGTCAACAGACTGTTGTATGAAGCTGGTTTTCTCCTAGAACTTGGAGTCACCAGACTTTCTCTGGAGCAAAAATAATAGAACCAACTCTGACCCAAATACACTATTTTTCACTGAGGAAAACCTCAGTCACTCCAATGAAATAATTTCACCCTTATTAGCAGAATGCATTTGAACGTTACTACCTGAGTGCCTGTGGTAGTTAAGGTTGTGTGTCAGCTTGGCTGGGCCTGCTTGAGTGGCTGGGCAGCTGGATGTAGTTATTCCCTATGGAGAGATTGGTAATTATCTCTATGGTGGAATCTACTGGAGCAGCTGAGTAGCTGCTTTGGGGATGTCGGTTGCTTCTAGCATATAAGAACCAATTTGAGGAAGGTCTCCAGCTGATGGCATGCTTGAACCCTACATGTAGCCAAGTCGTTGTTTAGCAGCCATGTTGCCCTGCTGATCTTGGGACTTTTAATGGACTTGAATTAATGGACTGCCATGTGGTTTGGTTAGCAGGACTATGCCTTTCACTTGTTGACCTTGGGTTTGTCAGCCTCAGCAGCTAGCAGTTGCCTGACTGAAGAGATGCCTCTAGCTTCAGTGGCCGGAAGCAAGAGGCGGAGCTGAAGCCCAAGGTTGAGGGGCTTTCACCCAGCCCCTAGAGCCCGGCACTCTGAACTCAGACTTAAAGCCTCCAAATAAGAGAATAAACTCTTGTTTGTTCAAGCCATCCCATTTGTGGTATATTCCTATCAGAGTGGCACTAGGTAACCGAAACAGTGCCTCAGACAAATTACTTAACCAATTGGTAAAATGGAGATAATAAGAATACTTGCTTCATAGTGTTAAGAGGATTAAATTAGTTAATATGTAAAAAATTATTAGAACAGTGCCTTGAACATCATGTTAAATAAATAAATAAATAAATATACATCAGCTCTTGTTCTCTAATTGCTTCAATAGCATTCTACAAGACTACAAACTGTTTAACACCAGGGACCAAACTGGACACTATATACCCTCTTCTCACTTATCAACATTGTCAATTTCCAAAGGTCAGATCATTATGCAAAAATTGTCATTCTGCAAAAATGGAGGTTGACTACATCAATACCTAACTGCCCAACCAGTGAGAATCTTGGCCTTGCCAAGTTAACTCATAACTTTAACCATCACAGCCAGCATTACCCTCACCTTGTACCTCGGCATGTATCACTGCTAGATGTATATTTGTTAGTGTGCAAAACAGTCAGGTAGCAGATTTTTTACTATTGCTGTAAATGTAAAATGTCAGGTAACAAGATAGGTGTACGTTATACTCTTACCACTTAAAGGATGCTCTGCTATTTTCTCTTCCAGTAAAATCTAGTCCAATGCCACTCAAAATTTAATGTACACTCAAAACACTTGGGGGATCTTGTCAAAATGTAGATATGGATTCAATAGGATTTAAAGAGGATTGGAGATTTTGCATTTGTAACATGCTCCCCAGTGACAAGGCAGATCAATGGACCACACTGTGATTAGTAAGGGTCTAGTCTACTTTAAGGGGAGCTCTGGTGGTATAGTGCCTAAAGCATTTGTCTGCTAACCAGAAGGCTGGAGGTTCAAATCCACCAGCCACTCCCCGGAAGGAAGATGGGGCAATCTACCTCCATAGTGATACTGCCTCGGAAATCCAAGGAGGGGTCGCTATGAGTCGGATCCAACTCGATGGCAATGATTTTTTGTGAGTCTACTTTAAAGAAGCCCTGGTGGCACAGTGGTTAAGTGCTAGGCTGCTAATAATTGAAAGGTTGGTAGTTCAAATTCACCAGGAACTCTGTGGGAGAAAGATGTGGTAGTTTGCTTCTGTAAAGATTTACAGCCTTCGAAAACTTATGGGGTAGTTCTACTCTGTTCTATAGGGTCTCTTTGAGTTGCCATAAATTCAATGGCAACAGAGTCTAGTCTAAACTTTTTTTGAATGCTGGAAATGCTCTCGAAATTTATTTCATGACCCACCAAAGGGTTACAGTTTGGAAAACACTGCTCCAAATAACTCTAAAGCTTCTTTTATCTCTATAATTCCATCACTGTCATCTTAACCTTGGGACAGAATTACTAGGACTGGATGGGAGGGAAGCTCACAGCAAGAATGACTCAAAGGTCACCTTTCATATTGACTCAGACACAAATGCCTACCGGGTTCCAGCCCTTTCCTCACTGTTCCAAGCTACAACTTCCAGATATATTAATATAGTGACTGAGCACTTACTAAGAGCACAGCACAGAGCCAAGTGGTTTCTATGTATCTTATTTATTCCTACAAACATTCTACGAGGTTATCACCAATTTACAGATGAGAGAGTTAAGTAGTTAATAAATGGTGGAGGTAGCGTAGTGCCTAAGGCACCTGACTGCTAACCAGAAGGCTGGCGGTTCAAACCCACCAGACACTCCTCGGAAGGAAGGTTGGGCAATCCTACTTCTGTAGTGATACTGCCTCGGAAACCCAAGGAGGGGTCGCTATGAGTCGGGGCCGACTCGACGGCACATAACAACAACAACAACAACAACAAATGGTGGAGGTAGAATTCCAGAATCCATGTTCTTGTGGTGGCCATCATCCAAGATGGCTCCAATGATCCTTTCCTCCTGGTATTCTTGTCATTGTGTTCCCTCACACACTGAATAGGACTGATCTAGTGGCCCATACAATACTGAAGAAAGGACAATGTGTGACTTTCAAGGCTGAGTTAGAAAAGACATTATGGCTTCCACCTTGTGCTCTCTTGGATCATTTATTCTGGGAGAAGCCAGCTGCCACGTCAATGAGAACTCTCCAGAACTCATATGATGATGGACTGAAGCTGCCTACTCATAGCTGGCACCAATTTATTTATGTGAGTGATCCATCTTAGAAGTGAATCCCCCAGACTGTCAAGCCTTCAGATTATTGATTTAAAAAAAAAAAAACTCATTGCTGTAGAGTCAATTCTGACTCATGACTGCAGCTCTGGCCAACATCTTGACTGCAAGCTCATAGGGTCGCTATGAGTTGGAGTCAACTCAGTGGCAGTGGGTATATTGTAATCTCATTACAGACTCCAAACCAGAATTGTCCATCTAAGCCTCTCCCAAATTCCTGACCTACTGAAAATGTGTGATATAGTAAACAAATGTTCTTTTACACACTATGGTTTGTGGTAACTTTTTTATACAGCAGTAGATTACTAATACAGCTTTTAACCAACAGTTTGTATTCTTCATTATAATTCAGACTTATAAAGAAAATACAGCCTTTATGAAGCCACTTTAGACTAATTTTTCATTGTAGTAGCTTGTGTTATGGTTCATCACATTTTCATTCTTCCCTCCCCACCAACCTTGTGGGACGTATATATTTCCCAAGTTCACTGATGGTGAGCTTGACCATATGACTTGCTTTGGCTAATTGGATGTAAGAGGTTGTGATGTTACACCACACTAGATCAGCTTTTTGAGACACTCCAAAAATCTGCCTGCCCTCATCCGTTAAGACAACATAACTTTGATATGCACTTAGAAAACAAAAAATTTGTATGACTCCTTTAATTGTAATATTTGCTTTATTGCAATAGTCTGTCCCTTTAGCCTGGATCCCAGAATAAGAAGGCATAGAAAGACTGGAACTTGACACCCAGCTTGAAGCCAAGCCAAGTGGAGCCCAAGAAAATCTACAGTTGACTTATAGATCCATGAGTGACAGATAAGTGCATGTGGTTGTAAGCTATGAGATGTAGGAGTTGTTACAGCAGCAAAAGCTGACTGATACACTCACCATGCTGTATGATGCCGTGCTCCATTAGCCGGTTGCAAAGCTGCTCTGCCTCCTTCCTTGTGGTGGCCTCACCTTCCTGAACCAGCCAATCCAGGAATTCAGATGCCATGAAGGTGCGCTCATACTTGACTCCTTCCTCCTCCCTGGGCTGCAGAAGTGTATTCTCAGGGCTCATCAGCCTGGAGAAAGGAAGGGTGAAAAAAAAAACAAACAAACAAACAAATAAACACATAAAAAAAACCCACACAAAATAAAATATCTCATTTGAAATCCTACAGCATAAGCTTCTGTGAGATATCATAGCAAAGTTGTCAGGCAGAGAAATGTGGCTGTCATATTCTTGTACAAATGTCATTTCCAAGAAGAGGGTCTGCATTAGAAGTAAGCAGAACATATTTTCTCCTGGAAATTGGGAAAAGTTGGAAATGCAATCCAAAACTCTTACCATTAGCAGACCTCATTCATTTCAGCCATCTTGAAATGGAGTTACAATTCACTCCACTTCCCCAACTCCCACCCTACTTTTCTAAAAGAGCCATTATTTCTTTACTAAGTATTATTCCATTTACCAAATCACTGCACTAATAAGTAGAATATGTAAGTCACTCCTGTACAGGCTCCTCCTTCATATCTACCTCACCAGACATTCCTCACTTCTAGCTTCTGGCCTCACCAGAAACTCCCACTGGGGCCATGAACAGTCTCTCTTGACTCCATAAAATGAGCATTTTTGGAGTTCTCATTTTGGTTGACATCAAATACCAGTAGAGACAGACTACTGACCACTCTGATTACCTGGAAGGACATTGCACTGTATTGTTTCCCTCCTGTCTCTCTTGCCCTACCTCTTTTTCAGCTAACTTTTTGTTGATTCCTTTTCATCGTCCTAGACTTTAAATGCCAGAATTCCTTGAGATTCAGTCCCCAAATCCCTTCTTTTCTCATTTTATAGTCTCAGGTGAGTTCTTTCATATCCATGGCTTCAATTACCATCCAAGCGCCAAAGATTCACAAATTTACATCCCCTGACCAGACCTCTGCTCCATGCACCACCCATACCTCCAGACCTTTGTATCCACATGGACATCTCAGATACCTCAAACTCAACAAACCCAAAAGATAACTCATATTCTTCTCCCCAAACCTGGTCTTGCTCTACTGAGGCTTCAACTCTTTAGCCAAAAGACATCATCCTTGACACCTCCATCTTCTTCATCCTCTGTCCAGTCCGTTGGTATGACCTGTGAATTTTATCTCCCAAATCCCTCTCACAGCTACCCAGGCCTTCCCAGCTCAGGCACCAGCATATCTTAACCTAAAATACCAACACCTTTAGCCTATAGAATTACAATAGTTTCTTAAGTGGAGTATACTAAGCATCCATACTTGTCCTCTATCCAACCTCAAGCACCTAAATCCAGACCCTGCAATTAGAAATCTTTCTAAAATCATTCTAAGCCCTTGCCCAGTTGAAGATACACTTCAGTGTCTTCTTACTGCTTTTGGGATAAAGATAAAAATTCTTAACATGGCCTATAATACATATGTGATCCAGGTCCCTACCCTGTTTGGACCACACTAACCTCTTTCCTCTGTGTTCTCCACTGATCTTTTGCTTGTATGCCTTCTACCACAGGGCCTTTGAATATGCTGTCCACTCAGTTGGAATGCTCTCTCCATCTTCCTGCCACCCTTCCACTCCTCATGCCTACCTATTCCTGACCCATGGTATCTCAGTTCTTGTCAGGTCTCCACTGACTAGGCCATCTCACTGCTCCCTGTTCATTTTCCTTCAAGACATGCATCAGAGTGTGTGCAGTTATCAGATTAAAAGACCTATCTTCCCTACTCAATTATAAGCTCCAAGAGGGTGGAATGAGTGTTTGTCTATAAAATTTTGTTAAGTGAAAAACTGGGCTTCATAAAATACCAGAGCCATTGTGTCATCTTCCTCTTAAAACTATTCCTCATAAGTTTCTGTTTTGCATATGAAAGTTTGACCCTTGCTTTTAAAAACTTTAATTTTCTCTCAAACTAACCAGAATATGAAGTATAAATTGAACCATTAAATGCTAGAGAAGGAAGATACCTTGGAAAACATTGTAATCTACTAAATCTATCAACTTCCACAAGAGAGAAAAATAGTTCTATTTCAAATGAGAAAAGTTGAACCAACAACAGCATTCAACATAGTGGTGAAGAACTTGCCCAAGATCATGCTACGTTGTTGTTGTTGTGTGCCATTGAGTCGGGCCCGACTCATAATGACCCATCCTTGGGTTTCCGAGGCAGTATCATTACGGAAGTAGATTGCCCAACCTTCCTTCTGATGGCTGGTGGGTTCAAACCGCTAGCCTTCTGGTTAGCAGTCAAGTGCCTTAGGCACTACACTACTAGAGCTCCTAGATCATGTTATATATATGTTTATAAAGCATTTGAGTATTGATACTAGAGAAACCTGAATAACTGTCCATTCATGTGATGTTCATTTTCAGTGCTTTCAGATGTAGAGCCCAATCCTGCCCAGGAAAGAACACTGGCCTAGGAAATAAAAGACTTTATTTATTCCAAATGGTTCGCTTAACTGTGGGATTCAAGGCAAGCCACTTTTCTTTTTTTAAGCCTTGTTTTTCTCAAGAGTATAATAGTATCCTCACCCAGTGGTGGTGAGAATCAAACATGTCAATGAATCAGCTTTACAACACAAAATAAAATGCATATACAAAGTGCTGCCACTACTTAATTAATCATGGTGCCTACATCTGGACATGATGAATTTGTTCCTAGTAGCTATAAGTGGGGGAGCTCTGGTAGCGTGGTGCCTAAGGCACTTGACTGCTAACCAGAAGGCTGGTGTTTCAAACCCACCCACCACTCCTCAGAAGGAAGGTTGGGAAATCTACTTCCGTAGTGATACTGCCTCAGAAACCCAAGGAGAGGTCACTATGAGTTGGGTCCGACTCGATGGCATATAACAAAAACAGCTATAAGTAGATTACAATGAAGACTCCTTCCATCTCCCTCCACTCTTACCAGCAGAGTCTTCATAACTATCTTCAATTCTACTTCTTCAAAGTCATGGAGAGGGTACATAATAGGGAAGTAGGAGACCTGGGACCAAAACAGCTAACACAAACTAGTCACATAATTGCTCACTGCTTCAGTGTCTTCCAGACTTACGCTAAATAAGGAAGAGAATACCTGTTCTACCTCCTTCACTGCATTGCTGTTACCATTTAAAATCTTTGAAGAAAAGATGTTTCAAAGTTTTAAGTATATAAAAATATGCTTTTAACAGGGAGACAGCTCAGGGGGCAGAAGTGCATGGAGGGATGGATACAAGGAAGAGGTAACTATTGGGAGGAAGTGGGAGGGGAGCTGTTGCATTGTAGTCAAGGTCATGAGACAAAGTGTTTGTGAACTGCTATATGGAAAGTGAATTTGCTCTGTAAACTTTCACCCAAAGCACAATAAAATAAATAAATAAATGCTTTTATTACTAAGAGTATTCATAAAGCTATTCAGCTTGTAACAGAACTCATTAAAAAACCTTCTTAAATTGACCTTTTCCCAAGTCAATCCTCTTCTGTGCTTCAGTTCATCATTAGAAATAGCTGCTTCCCTGAAGTTACAAACAGCTGAGTTGCTATAAGCATTAAGAATCCTATTTACTGTAATATTGTCCAGTCACTTCTTAGAAAGGACAATCATTGCATATACATCAATGCAAGGGATAGGCTCATAAAGATATTCTAGAGGAGATTATAGGAGCTTTGGTGGTGTAGTGCCTAAGTCATTTGACTGCTAACCAGAAGGCTGGCAGTTAAAACCCACCAACCCACCAGCTAGTCCTCGGAAGGAAGGTTGGGCAATCTACTTCCATAGTGATACGGCCTCAAAAACCCAAGGAGGGGTTGCTATGAGTTGAATCTGACTTGACGGCAGAGAGTCTGTTCGTTTGTTTGTAGAGGAGATTATGTTCAAAGATGGCCACAATGGTTCCTCTCGTGCATCTTTGCAACGTGACTTCCCTGCTTCCTCCAGCAACAGGTCAAGTTATTTCCCCTTCCCTTGAATCTGGGATGGCTCTGTGACTTGCTGTAGCTAACAAAGCAGAAGTGACATAATGTGACTTCTTTTTTAAAATTTTTATTGTGATTTGGGTGAAAGTTTACAGAGCAAATTCATTTTCCATATAGCAGTTCATACACATTTTGTTTCATGACATTGATTGCAATTCCCCACAATGTAACAGCCCTCTTCCCATTTCCTCCCTGTAGTTATCTCTCCCGTGTCCTTCTTTCCTATGCATTCTTGCCTCCAGAGCCATCTCCCTGTGCAAATATTGTCCTTCTGTTGTCCCATGACTGATCATCCTAAGTGTATCTACCTGATGTAAGTGTTTACCCAATATGCCAGTCTATTGTTTGGCTGGGAGCCAGAGGAGTGAGTTCAATGCCAGACCTGAATGGTAACTAGGGGCCATAGTCTTAGGGATCTTACCAGGCCAGTGAACCCGGCCTTTTTTTTTTTTTT